CTTTGCCTTTGCCATCCTTTCCTTTGTACTGCTTGCCCTTGCCCTTGGCGTAACTGCCAAAACCTTTTCCTTTCTGCTTGCCCTTGGACTTGCCGCCTTTGTCCTTTCTTTTTCTTTTCCCTTTCTCTTTACCTTTCACTCTATCAACATCCATGGGGATCACCTCATCGTCCCTATCGTGCCTGTCGTGGTCCTTGGTGATGGCCAGTTCCTTGTAGATTGCCTGGCTCCCCCATGAAGTGGTGGTTCGCTCATAGGCCAACATCCTCTCTCTGGCCTCCTTGTAGGACGTGTCCTCCGTCATCTGCAACTGCATTAATGCTGCCTGACTGCAGCTGGCATCACCCTCAACAGCACGCTCAACTTGGTGTTGTCACCAATCTCCTCTTTGGCCACCTTGCCATACTCCTCAGCCAACCTCTCCAGACCAAGCAGCTGTTCCAGCATGGTCATTCATTCCTTTGTCCTTCGTGAAGTTCGGGTGGTTGAGGAAGGCTTGCAGCAAAGCGATCGACCTCGATCTCGTCTTTGGAGCCAACTGGAGACTCAGCTGTCTCCACACTTCATAGCCATTGCGGCCTTCGACGGCCCTCAACAACTTGAGAGGCCTATTCCTCAGAAGCCCAACCAAAATGGCGTACAGCTTCTCTGACCTTCCTTTCTCTTCAGCTGTCATGCTCGAGAGCTTCACTTCGTTCTCAGAGCCTTCAATCGTCTCGAGCTCCTTGTTGTATGCCTCCTCGGCGAACGTGATCCAGCTCTTAAAAGCTAGTCGCCAGTCCTGCCATTGTGACAGCTCCTCTTCCATGTTCTTTGGCTCGAAGATCTCTGGTGATCTTACCACTTTGCTTGCAGCAGCGAACCCTTCACCGCCTTTCTTTCCTTCTTTGAGCTCTTTCAGCGTCTTGACCGCTTCTTGGGCCATGGCTGCCGACTGCTGGCTTGCGGCCACCAATGCTTTCGCCACCTGTTCATCCATCTTTCTTTCTTCACCTTCTTTTCTTCTTCAAATCTTCTTCACTTCAACTTCACTTCACTTCTCTTCTCTTCCCTGGATCTTCTTCTTCTCCCGGGGTATATTTATTGAGCCCCCGGGTCGGCTCCGCTACCATGAAAACACGTGGACGAACGCGTGAACGCTCGTTTTCGCCTGTGCTGGCGAGGTCTTGAACCTACAGGTTACGGTCACCACAGTCATGGTCAACCATTCACAAAACAAGAGATCCTGCGCAGTGTCTCCTTTTCTCCGTCCTGGGCAGTTGCAAAGGCTCCGTGAGTCGCTCTTCAACTCAGAGTTGCTCTTTTGCAGAGCGTCCAACCACACAACGTGTCAGTGTATATGGTTGTATCGTTGACTCGAAATGGGTTGTGAAACATACATGCAACATGTCAGCACGCCCCACTCCATTTCATCTACTTTTGCAAAGGAATGCATCGCACCTCAGCTGCAAATGAGAACGGTGGAGCTCAAGGGGGGACATTGCTTGCTGTGTGTCACACCCATGAACATGCCCAATGCAACAGGCTGATTTCTTAAGTTATCACTAGCAAATGCTGACTCTTGGGCGATCCAGCAACTCATGGACAAAAAACAGCTGCTCTACCTAGAGGCAACGGACCATATTTATGTGGTTGGTGGTCCAAAATACAGATCACTCAGGTACCAGTAGTGCTGAATAGATAAAGAGTTAAATAATATCTGTATATATAAACTGGCAACAAACAAACAAACAAACACGATTAAATAGTTGGTGAAAAAACCGGGCTGTCTCAACGAAACAATCATCGCCCCGTTGCCGTGAACCAGCGCGGAAACCGAAACAACGAGACTTGACATGGAGAATGCGACCTTTTGTGGCATTCCGCACAAGTAATGAAAAAAAACACAATAAACAAATGTATATATATATAAATTATATATATATGTATCTGAAACATTCTCAAACCACCACCCAGTAATTATTGTTGCTATGTGTTGCTGAGGAACGAGCCAACTGCCGGAAAAATATTGGCAGCTTTTGGTTGGCCTCGAGTACAGAACCCAAGGAGGTAGCAATTCATTCAGCACAAGATAGCACAAGTACCATGGCAAAGCGACAATCTTTCAACTTTGTGAGGCACTGTTTCCTCAAGACATGCCTGCAGATAGGTCCATGCTCATTCCTGTCAAGTCGGAGCGCCGCGAGCGCCACGCATTTCCTTATTTTGACCTCACACCCACGCTGGCAACGTCACTTTGCTGTGTAGGAAGACTTTTGCTTCAGGAAGAGCTTTTGGCAAACCGCGTTGCCAGCACGTGGCATGAAAACGAGACACGCTGAATTCACGTTGAGGTCGATTACCATGTCGTATGCGTGCCACTTCGTTGAGCTAACAGCCCACAGCGACAAGAAGCTCAGGCTTAGAGCATTCTTATAGCAACAAGAAATCCATCACAGGCTCTTTTTGGAGCTTGATCTCCTTCAACAGGATGCCCTCACCTGGGCACATTTGCTCACCCAACACTTTCACTGCGCGGGCGGCGAGAGCTTTACCTGACAGGAACAGGTTGCCAGGTTCCATCAATGCGTATCTGACAACAACGTGCCACCCACAAGTGCTAATGAATCCTACACATCCCCCTTCTGTGGATGCACTTCCGGGAGCAAAAAAACAGGAAGCCCATGGAAAGGGACATTGGACAAACATCCCTAGCCCAAAACAGCTGCAGTTCCACTGGATGCAACCAACGAAAGTCGCCATTTGATTCGATGGAACCTTGTTCCACTACCAAGTTTTAACCGTCATTTTAAAGCTTAGGTTAATCATGTCTGACGAACACCTTTGGATTTATCCCTGTGAAGCACCTTCCTTGCTTGAAGGTTCAGCGATTGCTTCCACCAAGCTCCTGAGCTCTGTGGACGAGCCCGGCGCAAGGACTTGAGCCGGGACATAGTCCAAGCGCCGATGCTGGAGCTGCCGCTCCTGCACAAGTCTTTGGGGCAAGCAACAAACGTGACACAAAGGAATCTAAGCGGTGTGACTGAGCTGACTTCGGCTCACAAAGACGAGCAACTTCAGGGTTGAAACATGATTATCACCCATTTCCAACATCTTCCCACACAATATATAAATTTGAGCAAGATTTCAGGTTGCAGCAGAAAGAATGAGAGGCAAACAACGCAAATTCACGCTACTGTAGCGGCATAAATTCGGTATCCATGGAATCGTGTCTCCACATTGACATGTGCACTCTTGAGACACAGCAGCAAAACGACCCTCATTGACCCCATCTCCAGTCCTGGTATGCAGCTAGAACCTGCGCATGTCATGGCTGAATGTCTTTCCGCAGAAGGTTGAGTCAGGGATGGGGCAACTTGCTCAACTTTCAACCAACCACCCTTGCTTGCCGTAACCGGCCAAATCAGCCTGTGCCAATTGGAACATTGAATGGGCTAAGGACTACACTAACATGTGCTGCCGGCAGCACTGCCAGCGACGAGAAATTTGCCAACTCAGCTCAGCCCCCTCAAAACATCCACAGATTCATGGTCCGCCTTGAATGTGTTGATCTGCATGGCTAACGCTTTCAAAGATGAGGCCACGGTCGACACTGCCAAGCCATACACCCCTTGGACGAAGGCTGTGTGGTTCCCACAGTCCATGTCAGCTGTGTACTCCAGCAGCGAGGCCAAATCCATATGGCGCACCACATGCTTAAAGAAGCCCTGGTCCTTCAAAGGTCTCAAAAACATCCAGCGCGCTTGGAACAGCTCCAGTTGGGGCCCAATTCCTCCCCTTGCACTTGGTCTTCTGAGCCAAGGTGGGCTCGCTTGCAGCTACTTTGGGCATAGGCATCACTGGGTGCGGTTAGAGGAACATGCTCAAGGGTCCAAACATGATGGTAGCATGTGCAAAAGAACTGGTTTGCGCGGAAGTGAGTTGGGGTTGGCAAGGAGTCTAGCAAAGCGTATCCCGAAAATGCTCTCGGAGCCGACTCGAATGGCCTGACAGCTGGTAAAACAACAGTAACATGCACACCGTGAATGGACTGCACGCTTGCT